TCCCTACACTGTGCTTGTGCCTCTCAACTAGAATAATTAAACGCCCAAACATTGTATGCAATAAATCTTGATTACTGCAAATATGCATTGTCTATCATCCATCCCATCCAGGACACAAGATACCAGATACAAGTATGGAGCACACGCAGAATCAGACTGGCCTTCCTTGTCTTCTTTCATAAGCAGGGAATCCACTTACATAATTAAACACACTTCGGTAACTGCTGCAAGGTAAGACTAAATGCAAAATGAAGTTTTTAACTCTGTTATTGTTGCCACTTTTTGAAGGGAGGGAACAAAACCTAGGGTCCTGCACATTTTTAAAGTCAGGATGAGGAACTGGTGACAGGTCAGGCTTGATGTAATATAACTTATTCATAAAGGATGTTCAAATTTCCATTTCTCCAATTATCCCCATGCAGATTCCTGTTGAAATTATGGTTTCCTGTGAAAACTTTGGTTCAGCTAACACTAAATTAACATGTTGGAGGGAATATGTCACTTATAATACCATGATTAATGTTCTGTGTTGAAGGAGGCAGAGGGGAGTGCTTTCTCTAGTAGAAAGAAAGCCTTCAGTTAGGGACAGGGTGGGATTAGGGTGAAAAAGCAATGGACAAAGAGCAGCCTTTTTTCTAAAACTGAGGAGACAACAAGGAAACCTGCCATCTCCTTCCAGGAAACCATTCAGAGGAGGTGCTGGTTAAAGGCAGGATGCAGTACTTCTTTCAGAAGAATCTGGAAAATCTGCCTGTGACTTTGAATGAAGGGGGCCTGAACACTTAAATCCACCCCTGCATCTGTCTTTATTCACGTTTTGTCTCTCTGCCTAAAACACTTTGGTTTTCTTCTATTCCTTTTTGCCCAGTACTTCCTTGCTGCCTCCTCTCTCAGGTTCTCATTCACAGAAGACGCTGAACAGCGATAGCTGATGGAGCTGCCCACACCAATGTACCTGCCTGGGCCTGGTATTTCAGGAGAGTTTGCCTGTTTTCTATGGCTACACTAAATGAAAGGGAACAACCCTTCTACTTAACAGAGGTGACCGTCACCCTCTAGTGACAGTGGCTTAGGTGGCTCCTCTTTCAGGCTGGGGTATGCTTGTCACACCAGCCAGTGATGATGGGTGTGCTGCAGCCTCCAGTCAGTCCACATGAATCATGTGAACTATTATGCCAACCTTGCCCAAGTTACAAAACTTGATCTAAGTGTTAATGAAATAGTTATTCTTATTTTCTTCCCCACTTCACATAAATAACACAGAGACTACAAAGCTCCTTATCTGGGCTGTTCTTAAATATGGACTGTCCTAGCATCCTTAAGACCATCCCAAGTTTTTATTTTCAGCAAGAATACTTGTATGAATAGTATTTTTGCTCATTTCATATCATGTTTGGCATTCATAATAAATGAAAGGTAACTACAGATAAAAGGTTGGAGAAAATCAGTTTCTACATTAGAGAACATGCTAGAAAGGTAATATTGCACTAAATATTAAAAGGGAACGATAGCACTTTGATAGTGAATGCTGCAGATGGTTCTGTATTTCAAACTGTTGGAGGTGAGACTGCTCCTCAAGAAGTTACGTGCTGTGATGTACAATGATGGTATGTTAGCATGTTTTTCTAACTTTGGGGTGTATAGTTTTAGTTGGGAATATTTGTTAAATGCATGTCCTAAATTCTTTTTGAAATTATGACTTCCCATGTAGAATACGTGTTGGTTCTGCTAATTAATTTTGCCTAAACTAGCATTGTGGAAGGGGAAAATACTGTCTAGAACAGAAGTTATCCTCTTAGCTTAATCTAAATATTACGTTAAAGACGTAAGATCCTAATTAATACTCTCAAGAAAAGCCTTGGTAAGATGATGGCCACGGAATCACAGAATTGACAGAGTTGGAAGGGACCTCTAAAGCTCATCTAGTCCAACTCCCCTGCTAAAGCAGGATCCCCTAGAGCATATTACTTAGAGCTGCATCCAGGTGGGTCTTGAATATCTCCAGAGAAGGTGACTCCACAACCTCCCTGAGCAGCCACAGAACAACTGTATCTGAAAATGAGTTAGAAGATGTATTAATCATATCAGACTATGGCTTTAGGGTGACTTTACGTCAGTCAAAGTGTTTCTTTCACATTATGACCTTACTGATCTTTACCAGATGAACCAAACTTTCACTAAAAGCTTTATTTAATTTTGAAGACCTATTTTTATACTATGACCAAAGACCACATTGTAATGGTATTAACTTTGAAAATATATACTGCTGACTCAAAAAGAAGAATAAGGATAGTGTTTTATTTTCAAGCCATGTATTAGAAACAGAATGTCTCTAATATCACAGTCTCCTAAAAAGTGGGTTACTATCTTTGAGGCATCCCCACAATATTTTGCCCTTGCATTCTTGAAATAAACTGTCTTAGAACCAGGAATATTAAATAAACATAAAGCAGCAGATTACTCTAAATGACAACTAATTTTAAGATAGAAAGAAACCTAGGGTGTACCCCTCATTTACCTTAGTCTGCATTACAGACCTGAGCCTACACTAAGCAAGTCTGCAGGTTCTT